ATGCAAGAAAATAGGTAAATATACAGGATGATAGAAAACTCCACGAGTTTTCAGAATATGTAATTGGTTTTAAATAAATGTCTTTTTATAATGGCAATAAATGCAAAATACTGAGTGCAACTATTTTTTTCAGGGGGGATATATGAAATTCATATAATTGTTTAAAGCCGTGTGATAAGACACATGAGCAAGGTCGATACTAGTCACGGCAGCTCATCTTCAACAAAATACCAATCTCTTATCTTTCCAAAACATTTCTACTCTCAAGCATAAATTCTTTCACATACTTCTACGCAATTGCATAGCATCACATACGCATATCTAGGAAAAAAATGCAATTTTCCCACTAACGACATATATTTCCACTCAAAAGTTTTGCACGTACGCACTACATCCGCTTCACTGATAAGGCACAGTATATAAAGCTACATATTTTGTACATCATTTTCATTCATAGTGTTCATTATATTATAATGAAGTCTCTATTCTTTATCAAAAACAACATATTAAATACTTTTCTATTCTTTGGACAAAAACAAACACTAAGAAGAATATCAAAATCAAATCTTCATCATCCAACAGCTCATAAACATTATAGTAAGTGTTCAAATTTAACCTAGCACAATTGCAAAAACCTAAAGACAATAGGGCTACCTACGAAATATAATCCAGAGTTTATTCGGCTTCAGAAGACATCTATTGCAAATCTTTTCAATTCTAAGAGTTTTCGATTAACCATGTAGATTCAAAATAGTCACCTGATGACTTCTCTCCTATTGAGTTGAAATCCTACCGGGTAGTGCTAGTTATTTATTTTTACTTACCTACAGATTTATAAGACTAACTGCTGTTATAAATCTAGGGAATTCAATTTAATATTGGAGAATGTTAATGCTGTCAATTGAAATTGAGGTTTTTTTAGATCTTATGCAGATTTATTTATACCACCTGATGATTCCTCCTAGAAAATTAGGACGAATCTCTGAATGCGGTAGTTTTATGAAACTCACACTCGCACATGTGACGATATTTTAGATGGAAGAAGAGCTAATGCGGATGAAACTACACTTTATTGTATTTCTTCCTATCAAGAATCGTGTTGTTTACATACAAAGCATACGCTTATATACTTTTTCATAAAAGTCACTGAGATAACAGCAAAGGAAAGGACAACAATGGCATAAAATAAATGTAATCTGATAGGGATAAAGTGCAATACGTGGCACTAAGTAAGGACAAAAATATAAGGACAATATATACGATGAGAAGAACTAGTAAGAAGAGAAAACATATCATGTATACAACGCATGGTACAGATGCGTCACAACACCCTCAACATATGACAAATTTATTTCCTACAGTTTTGCTTTGTTAGTATTTTCCCAACGATATTATGTTGTCCTTAGTGATCATAATTTTTATGTGAAAAGAAAGCTAAAATAAATAATATAATTCATATAAATGATTTCTAAAAACTTAGAAACGACTTTATGTGTTACTGCTTTCACTTTGCATAAAAAGATTAGTATTATTTTAATATGAAATCTTCCTAATTTTTCAATAGATATCATTTTCTATGATTAGTTGCTTCACCTTTTACTTTTATTTCTTCAGAAATAGAAAAACATTCAAACAACTTCATTTTCATGAACAACATATTGAATGTTCAAGTTCATTTCCTTTAAAAGCCTCTCGAACATGATTAAATCCGTTAATCATATTTTTCTTAACGTATTGAATACTTGCGTTGAATTTTCGGTAAAGGCTTATTCATTGGCATTTGATAGTGTTTATGCTTTATTTTTGATGACAAATCGAATATTGGTTTCATTGTAGACGTATCTGAAAGTATTCGATGCAATTCAACTATTTCTTTTACTGTGTTTTCCCAGGTAACTATTTGTTTTTGTATGACTTGATACAATGACTTTACTACATTGTTTCGTATTTCTTCTACTATACTTGAGTATTCATGTAATCTATCCAATAAGCGCTCATACTTTAACGCTTTTTCTTGAATACGTTTAAAATGACGCTCGCGACGTATCCCGAAGAATAAATATATATAATTCTGATTTGATATTTCTTCATTCAACTTATATTCCTGTAACTTTTTCAATAACTTATTATATGTTTTCTTCACTTTGGACATCAAATCGTATATTTCTTCTAATATACACTCACGCATTTCCTGTTGTACGAGTTTACATTCGAATAAATCTTCTAATATTGATTCAACATTCTTTAGTTGCTCGAAGTTCAATTGACGTTTACGCATTGCTTCACTTATTTGTTGATATATTTGACTTGCTAAACGCATATACATAATCTCTATTATACGTTCACGTGCCCTGCCCAAAATATCCTCTTCACGTTTTGGTCTCCGACACCCAGATAGACGAGAGTCCAAATAATATTCAGCATAATAATTAAAATTATAATCGGAATAATAATCAGAATCTGCTCGATTAAGAAGGTCACGGCGCCCCTGCAATGATGAACAGCGACTCATATAGAACCATTCCACTTTATTACTGGCAAATAATTGTTCCATAGTGTCTTCGGTTTCTGCATCAGGATCAGCGTCCCCATCATCAATCCAATATCGAAATCTTCTATTTTTCTCTGTTTTCCATACAAGTTTTTGGAGACATTTTAATCGAGAACGTTTGAATAGAGAAAACCAATGTTTAGCTATTCCATATATATGATGGCGAAGACGAGGGCCGAAATATTTATAAGCACTTATAATAAACATTAAAAACCAATATATTTGATCGATTACTTCCCTATTATTAAAATCATATTCTTCCTTAGCCATTGCAATAGCAAATCGAACAGCCATATTTTGAATATCCCATAGTCGAATTATTTGTAAATCTTTGTTTAAGAAAGGACTATATACAACTGTTGAAAAGAAAGTTGAATCAACATGTTTCAATGAAGGATGTGATTGAGGTCCAATACCAAGAAAATCTAACAATGCAATTATAGATATGATATCATTTGCTTTAGGCAAATGAGTAAATAATTGTCGAACTGAATGAAATGAAAGCGATTGAATAGCAAAAGAAAATTGTTTAAATTGAATCAGTGGATCGAGTTTAAAATGTCCATTTTTATCACATACTGATTGAAAATTATGAGCAGAAGATACGAGAGCAATTAAATAAGGTATTTTTTCAATTTGATCATCTTCAAGAGTTATAAGTTCACCAGAACTAAAACAAAATGTTTTCGTCGTTGTTGTTAATTCATCAGCATTGTCAGTCATTGCTTGATTCAAAAAATAATTAGAAAAGACTTGACTAATGTATTTATTTCATTGTAATTGCCAAGATAAATATGT